CACTGGGAGCTGTGGTTTTTTGGTTGGTGTCCTGTCCTGGTGTCACTGGGAGCTGTGGTTTTTTGGTTGGTGTCCTGTACTGGTGTCACTGGGAGCTGTGGTTTTTTATGGTGACACCGGGAGCTGTGTCCTGTACTGGTGGCTACTGGGAGCTGACGTCCACGGGCACGGGAGGCACTGGGAGCCGTGGGGCAGAGTTCACTGGGGTGTACTGGGAGCTGTGACCCGCTGTACTGGTGGGTGCGGGCAGGGGGATACTGGGAGCCACTGGGAGCTGGGAGGGCACAGAGGGAAACTTGGAGCTGGGAGAGCCCTGGAAGCTTGGGCGGGGCACTGGAGCTGCAGAGGAGCTCGGGCTGCGGGCACTGGCAGCTTTTGGGCTGGAACTGGGAGGCACTGGGAGCTGCGGGGAGCAGTGGGAACTGGGAGCTGGAGGTCAGCGGGAACTGGGGGACAACTGGGAGCTGCGATGGAGGCTGGGGGCGCTGGGGGAGCGCTGGGAGCTGCAGGGACTGGGAAGCGCTCCGGGCACTGGGAAGCGCTGGGGTCTGTAGTCCAGCTGCGCGTACTGGGAGCTGTAGTCCGGACCGGGGCCATACTGGGAGGTGTGGTCCCGAGCCGGGGCCATACTGGGAGGTGTGGTCCGGGGCCGGGGCCATACTGGGAGGTGTGGTCCCGGGCCGGGGTCATACTGGGAGGTGTGGTCCGGGGCCGGGGCCATACTGGGAGGTGTGGTCCGGGGCCGGGGCCATACTGGGAGATGCGGTCCCGAGCCGGGGCCATACTGGGAGGTGTGGTCCGGGGTCGGGGCCATACTGGGAGCTGTAGTCCGGACCGGGGCCATACTGGGAGGTGTGGTCCGGGGCCGGGGTCATACTGGGAGGTGTGGTCCGGGGCCGGGGCTATACTGGGAGCTGTAGTCCGGACCGGGGCCATACTGGGAGGTGTAGTCCGGGCTCCCAGCGCATACTGGGAGGTGTGGTCCCGGGCCATACTGGGAGGTGCGGTTCCCAGCCCCGGGCGCTGCTGGAAGCTGTAGTTGGGCGCTGCGGGGTGCGGGGTCCCGTCCCTGGGGGTGCCAGGGGGTGCCCCCTCTGCCGGGGGGACAGGACCCGCAGCAGGGTGCCCGTGCAGGAGGAACGGGGCGATCTCACCCCCGAGCAGCCCCCAGGGGCTGTGCCCCGGGAATGCCAGGGCAGGGGGGGCACTGGGGTCGCTGCGGTCGCTGCCCGGGCTCTGGGCAATGGCAGAGGGGTGGGCAAAGGAGGAGGGAGCGGGTCGGGGTCCCTGGGGCGGGGGACAGGCGCTGACCGCGTGTCTCCGGCCAGGCTCGGCTGCGGCGGCATGGGGGGGATGCTGGCGCTGCCCCCGGGGCAGGGACCCCACCAGGTGGGCTGCACGGATGTCATGGTGGGCAACACGCGGCAGGTACGGGGATGGGCACAGCGATAAATGGGCACAGGGACATGCTTCCAGGTGGCTGCGGCCAGCTGGTTTTGGACGTGGCCACCATCCTCTGTGTCCCTCAGGGGCTCTTCCTCCGCCTCTTCTACCCGTGCCTGCCCCGGGCAGGGGCCACGGAGCCGCTCTGGGTCCCTCGCCCCGAGTACTGCGGGGGCCTGGCCGATGCCGCCCTCGGCCGCCGCTGGTGCTCCACCCTGCTCGGCGTAGGGCTGTGGGATGGGATGGGATGGGATGGGATGGGATGGGATGGGATGGGATGGGATGGGATGGGATGGGA